ATTTCTACTTTATGGATGCTTTTCGTATGACGCGACAATATCTTGTAAGATTACAAGATATCGCCGTCTTGTATAGTACAGAGCCGATTGTGGAGAAGTAAGGGACCCATCCGAAAAGGTGGAGGACTTCAGATACCTTGGGAGCGATCTGGCAGCCGACGGAAGTGTGGATCAGGCAGTAAAGGCACGAATCAACGCGGCCTGGATGAAATGGAGGGAGTCCACTGGAATCCTCTGCGATCGAAGGTGCTCCAGAGCGCTCAAAGGAAAGGTGTACCGGACAGTGATAAGGCCTGCGATGCTATACGGCAGCGAGTGCTGGCCCCTGAACAAGAATCACGAAAGGCAGCTTCACGAGGATGCTGGACGCGACTAGGACAGGGTTAGGAAACGAGGATGTCAGAGCGGTCATGCAGACTGCCCCTGTCCAGCTGAAGGTACGGGAACAGCGTCTGCGATGGTATGGGCATGTGCTAAGGAGGCCACAGGATCATCCGATAAGAACAGCGATGGACTTCGAAGTGCAAGGCAAGCGACCGCGAGGAGCCCCAAAGAAGAGGTGGAGAGACGTGATCAAGAAGGATCTAAGTGAAGTCATGGCCACAGCAGAAGATGCCCTAGAACAACATGGCGTGGCGACGACTGACAAAGACAGCGGACCCTGCGACTGCGCGGGACTAACGCTAGGGAGAAGAAGAAGAAGATTTTGTAAACATCACTTCTTGCTGTGCACATCGTACAAGAGTACCCTTAATCTCTGAACGCTATCTATGACGCCGCAACACACATTAACGTCCGCCTTTCGCGGCTTCTCAAGCGTTTTTTTTTGTCTTCTTATATCATCGGCTGCACCGTACGCGCTTTTACTCCTCACTTCTCACCTCACTACCTTTGAGAAGAATACAAGGAATTGATGAAGAGAGGAGCGAAAAGAAAGAATGAGTAAGAACCATGGAAACAACAAAGAGCAGCAGTTCACGGAGTCCGACTTTAAGGGCATGAGATTTGTTGAATGGACTTGAAAAAACCTTTTTTGTCGGGCCGCTTGTAGGCCTCCCTATTGGTAAAACTTTTATTAGGCCAAGGTTTCGGCGTCTTCGCCTTCGTCTAAAGCTCTAAGATGGCCAAAAAGCAATGAGACTTGCTCGCCCGAAACGCCTTAACAATCAAAAAGACAATTTCACCGAACTAGTAAACCACCTAAAGGTATTGATCGATAGCAACATGACTGGCTCAAGTTGATGTTTAAAGTTTTACCAGTCTTGGTGAGAGTTCAAGAGAGATCTCATGCCAATTTGGACACTGCAGCTTGGAAGGATTTTCGTTTGTTTGTTGTTTGTTTTTTTTTGAATGTCGTTCTTTCTGAAAGGCTTCAAAATGCAGAAATAGAACAAGACTACCAACAATGAAGGCACAGAACAAAGTAAAAGTGGAAAAATGACAGGACAAACTGGTTGAAGTAATCAATTAATCAAATCAAATCACAATCCTTTCAAGATGCGCTACGCAGCCTACTTCCATCCAAAATTGTTACGGCAGCAGGGTGTGCTTTGCCAGTTACCGTGACTTGCAGTAGTGGCCAATGTAAAAGTCGTAAGAGGTACTTAAGAGAAAGAGGCAGACTTAAGTACGTGATTTGTTGTAAAATAGCCCAAGATATCCTAAAAAGGGCTATGTTGGATGTCCCCAGAGACCAAAGAAGTTTACGAATGAGACGTTGTGTCGCATCCCACGTTGAATTGAATTGCACTACGCGATCCCATTAGGAATCAAGAGGCTGGGCAAGAGAGCAACACCCAAGTACACCACCCGACAATATGGCACGATGTCAAGCCTAGAGGGCAAATTTGAGGGAATGCGCGAGAATCACGAGTTCCGCCCCACTGAAAAATCTCAGCACGCAAAGAATCACTCGTCGTCGTCGTCGTCGGTCATTATTTCAAAACGACGGGCCTTCGTCCGTCGGGACTGATTCGCCGTGGTGGGCGAAGAGCCCTTGATGGGGCCCGCGAATATCGAGCTGACGTCGTCGTCGCGGTCGTCGTTGCTTTAATCCTCACATCAGTCATAAATATGCCGCGCGACTGGAGTTCTCGAAAAAAGCGTTGTTTTAGAAAAAGTTCATTAAAGACTGGAGGGAATGACAAGCAGTTGGGGACGAGCGAATTCAGATGCATTTGGGAATGAGTGATTAGCTAAAGCTCGAGACAGTTCACTGACATATGGAAGGGTCGAGGTTGAATGGTGAGCATGAGGTATGTAGTGACAGGAACGTGACATGAAGTGTGAGCGTTTATGCATTCCAACTGGTACGGCGCAAAAAGACGATCTCAAAGGCAAAGGACGCAGGATTTAAAATCGTGGTAATCTCACTCAATATTGTACAGGTATGAAAGGTCAACAGCAAGTGGAAAAAAAGGAAAGAAAACATATTAAGTGAGAGCCTTCTTGCTCTACGCTGCAGAGAAGTCTATGAGGCAGGCACGGATAGAGATAACGTGAGTCACGGAGTGGGTGAAGAAGTCCGGCTGAAAGAGAGCATAGCAAATCAACATTGCGACGCAGATAAGATATCGAACGGTGGGCGCATCCCGATGTTTTGGTGGGTTCTGATTAAAGTCCTTAGCGCCTAGTATCTAGTGACGCAATACGATGCGCGAAGGTGGCGCGATCTTGCAGTGGTGGCCAACACCGAGATCAAGTACTTCAGTGAGGCTGACCCTGAACCTTGCCTTTAAGATGCTTTTACAATTCGTCTTAACGCCTGATTACGCCACGCATCCAGTTTCCTTATGGAATGAACGATGACATGCGTTAGCAGTTGATTACGAAGTCAGATTAATGAGGTTTTTCAAAAGCACTGTAGCTGTTTTTGGGCGTAAATGGTAGCAGCACCAAGTGGGCGTTTACCGCGTGCAGGGTCCTGGTCGAACGTTGCTTCCCGTGGCGCCCTGGTCAACCATGACCCGCGAATTGTAACAAAGATCAAAATTCTCCAGGCACACCAAATCGCGCCGAACTTTGCATTTGTACTTACATTTCCCAATCCACGTATCTTTCATCATACAAACAGAGATGGCCATCAAGTTATCATCACGGATAATTGACATTCACCATGCGAAGAAGTTAGGCCCTCTACCATGTAGTGAAATATCTCAACTTAAATTCTTCGAAGCCCTTATTCAGTCAAAGGAGACTCCTATTAAAAATTGAAGGACAGACGTTAAGCTCGAAGGTCGCCAGAAGGGAAAGCATACGTAATGAAAACGAAAGGCAACCCTGAGGGTCCGGAAGACAACAAGCGAAAGGCTACGTTCCTGGCGTATCTAACATGGCACCTGCGGCGCTATCCGACGCGCCACGCCCATCGAATGGCTAGCCACGCACACTCCCTAGCTGTTTAGTAGAGAGCATTATCGTGGAAGAGGGTAACATCGACGAGAGTTGCAGAAATCAGCGAGCAAGAGATAGCTCATTTCTTGGGTTCTGGGCTGTTTCTCATAATTTTTTTCATTATCTAAGCACCATTGAGACACCCCTTTAATTGTAATGGGCTGCCTTCAATCATGTATTTCGTAAATTTCGCCATTAAGCGAAAGGGAAACGGTAGTACAGAGGACAAAGGAACGATAGATAATAATAAAATAAAATGGGAGAATACTCTTCAATAGAGGAGCAACATTCCTCGAATACAAAAGCAAACAAAGAAAATAGGTTAATGCGGATGGGTTCCTTTAAAAAAACCTGCTTGGAGATTGACTGGAGTCAGGTGCACAATAGAAAGAAAGATCTCAAGGTGACGAGCACAATTTCCTCCCAATGTGGATCACAGCGATTTTTCTGTTAGTTTCCTATCAAAGAGCCTTCCCATGCGTCAATTTTCCCCTGTGACCCATATTTTCCATTTGATGAGGGCAAACAATTATTACAGAGGCTGCAAGAAGTCTCCGGCAGATCCACACAACCTAGAGCTGGCCAAAACAAGCCTAGGAGCATCCCGTGAATTGGCCAACCTCATTCACAAAGAGCCCCATTTACCGTATACACTAAGAGGTTAACACAAACAGTAGATTGCTACTACTAATATACGAAACTGATCCAATCAAGAGCTCATTAAAATGCGATATTTGGTCAAAGTCACGAGCAAGGAATGAAGCATTACAGTAATGTCATCGAGTTAACAGGATAAAAAAATAATTCAAATACTGACATAAACAATACATAAACATGAACAAATACAATACAATATCAAAATAAATAAATAAATATAACAAATAAATAAATAATAAAACAAATAATTATTATTATTGTTTATTTATTATTTACAGCGTTGTGCATAAGGCAAAAAGTATGAGCTAATACAGCTTGCGTGATGTATGATCAGTGGCGCTATTAGGAACTAAGGCCCACTAACAACTCTAGAATAGTTTCCTACTTAGACGCTTGAAAGGTCGTAAGGTTGGAGACGATATCACTACTGTAGCTTTTAAGAACACTTAAGCATAAGCATTTTGCCGTTTGATCATAACGCCAATATTACGATTTGTACATTCGCAGTGGCGTTTGAATGCGATGTGGCCTATACAATGACTTGCGGGGGCCAGCCGATGTACAAGTCAGTGTTTTTATCCTCCCAGACAAGTCTGGTACCAATTAACCGACCCCGGAGGGATGGAAGGCTTGGTTGGCCTGGGCGAGTTACATCTATGGGTACATGACTAATGCAGCCTTCACTTAGGAACATGTATGCATTTGTAAGCCATGGTCGAAGAAGATATAGCAAGAGATCTTCCCTAACATGGTCCTGCATTTCGCTTTTTACTTATTTCATGAATTGTTTTCTCTCTAGCTCTGATCTTTTCAGTACTCGGGATGGGAAAGCGAATGTGTACCTGCTCCTTTCGTAGCACAGAGCAGTCTAGGCTGTGCTGTGGTGCTGAAACCTACTCGAGGAGACTTCCTACAGTAAGCTTATCAAACACCTTTATTGCTTTTCGTTCCTATCGTGTGGAAGTAAAAAATTAAATAAATGATTTTATTACTTATCTCTTTTGTCTGTTACTTTTACTTTCTCTAGGTTTATACTTTCAATCCTAAATGTCGTTTTTAAGGGCTTCTCTCGGCTTCCTATTCTTTACATCCCCGATCAGTTCCCACTTCGGACAACCAAGCCCTCTCCCTTCCGAGATTGCTTACTTGTTCCCATACAAGTCAGAGAAGACAAAACTTTGGCTCTTTACATGGCGGGCTACCGCGTTTAACTCCAGAATTTATTTTGAAAGCCCCTGCAGTTCTAAATAAGTAGTGGGGAAGTTGAGAGTTTCTCTAAAGCTATGAGCCTTCATTATTTCTAAAATTGATGTTAACGTTAGGTGACGCTTTGCACGAAGATTTTTGTATAGCAGTTAAATGCGTGCAAGACATCGAACGTCTTATGAATTCGTTCTACACTCCAAATCGGAGCGATTTGGGAGTGGTAGCAATAACTAATATAGCAATAAGCAGTAAATTCCTCATTTCAGTTATAATATGGGCGATGATCTTCATATTGGCATTTCAAATTCAGTGTCTGTGGTGCATTCCTACTGGGTAAATGGCATATCTTCAGAATGTGTTGGCTGGGATAAGTCAATAGTAGTCTGCCGTTTCAGTGATGATGAGGACAGGTTGCCTTCTAGTTGTTGGTTTTATGTCTACCCCTTTTCCGATTCATGATTTCTTTTCAGGTTTGACTTCTTGCTGTCTTCCTTTCTTCGAGAAACTGCCAACAATTTTGAACAAGAGGTGTGTTTCCAAAAAGATCAATTTTTGCCCATTTTCTACAACCTTTTTTTCCTTGATCAATTGGGATTTTGATATAATCGTAGTACTGATACTAGTGAGATCAATGGCCGTGAATGGAAGAGGGTGGTTTTGGATTTAGCATGCATGACCTAATTTCTAAGCTAGCTCTCATTGTTATATAGTTACGAGGGGACTCTACTCATGTCAATGTTACTGCGAAGGCAGTATGCCTTGGCAAAAATTAGAGCTTAGCGCGAATAGCTTTGCTAAGGTAAGCAAATCGTATTTGAAGGAGTATTTTGAATTTACTTGCAGTAAGCTTTTTCATTGAGAAAGTTAGAGCATTTACTAACTTATTTATTTTCGTGTGTGGAAACTTGAAAAAGGATGATTTTTTCTCAATCTGTTCCCTTATTATTACTATGGTATGTTACTGTTCTAGTTTATCTTCATTTTTACTATGGTGAAATTTGTGGCGCTGAACCAACAGGTTCTGCCATTCCAGAGTATTATTCATAATTCCAGTATCTTAGAAGGACAGAAGATATTTCAAACTTATTTATAAGGCTCAACTACATAGAAATCTATCAGCTTTCAGTTCTATGATGACGCACGGTGGAACTGTTTCGATTTTGTTATGGAGTTCTTGCGCTTCATCAATTTCCGAAGATACACGAAAATAGATTTCGTATCAGAATTTGTTCAAGGCGCTTTAAATAGCGCAATTAAGTATAATACGTTAGTGCACCGGGTTCAGGAACGTGGCCTTGTTCTTTTATGAGTAAAACTTGGTGAATTGTCTAGTTATCATTAGGTGCTGGAATACATTTTCTTCTCAATTTCTCTATTGACATTTTCTCCTCATAAAAGCTCGAGTTATGTTTTTCATGTGTAGCTGTCGCAAAATAAACCGCATATCATTCCTTGAAATCATTGCCTTGCCATTACTCATATTTCGTAATATTATGGTTTATGTAGTCTTACGGGGGTTCGCTGAGGCCCCAACACCTCGGTTTTAACTTGTAATTTTAAGCATTCATTGTATTGTGAAACATTCCCTCCAAACAGTATTGTATTGATAGGTATTTAGTTCTCTAATTTCACACATCCACAGTTTATCCATTTTCCCCTACCCCTGTTTGTTCCCCTATTGAAGATCCTAGAAAAAGCAATATTATTAGCAATAAATAAAAGCTTCTTTAGTCGGTTTTTGAAAAGGCATTGATTTCCGCTATTCGGTACTATGCACTAATGAATCTGAAAGGATCAGTGAAAATTGTATTCCAGTATCAGATCTCACAATGGCAGAAATGCTGGAAGAGAATTCAAACGTAGACGCTGACCGTGTCATAGATCAACAGAGCTTCAATTGTTCTCACAGGTTCTCTGTCACATCTTTTATGTTTTAAGCCGATATTGAAGTGAATTCTTATCCTGTTTCAGTTTGAAATAGTTTACTGCAGAGTAATCGCGGAACGTAAACGAAAGTTTTTTTTTCCCCCGGTTGTGAAGATCAGTGGCAGTGGTGGTAGCTGTGCTGCGGCTCAACACTCATCATGTGGAAGCTCAAATAAGAGAACGGTATAGTTATTCACGAGAAAGCTTCAGAAAGCTGTACTTGCGCTGCAACGGTACGTTTTTCTATGCTTCGATGTATTTCAGCACGCTATGTTAATTGATCTGCAACTTTATAGAATGCCCAATAGTGAAGGCGATAAGTGACATGCTACAGAAAGATGCGAGACATTGGAGGGCGTTTGAATGAGGAGTTGAAGCAGCTACAGGCCGAGTTTTCCACAAAGACAGTCGCCTTTCCCGTGTTTGATCCCCGCCTGCTATGCATCTTTTGCTTTGGCAGAGGAATGAGGTGAGTGTCTATGTGATAGCACTGATAATGCATGTTTTGCTCTTAAGCCCATGGTGGTTATCTATTTTATTGGTAAATTAAGCCCAAGATGAAGCTGATGGTACAAGAGCGCTTGACTAATCGAAAAGCAGGGAATTGTGAATTGCAGTGGAGACTTACATAAAAACAGGAACGTTCGAACAACAAAAAAAATACGGAGCCTGTTCTACGATGTGGAGTGTAATGCACGGTAGAGACCGAGATGACAGATATGGAGGTCGATGAGACAAAGGGATGTCTACAGACGAGAGAGCACGAGACGAAATGGATCAGATACACCACGGGGGAGGGGGTGGAACCGCAGCAGTTCAGATTGACTAGCGTTTATTGCCCAATAACCGTTCATGGCATCTGCCCCATTTCAACTAGCACTTCACTCATACCGGGTTGTGCCTTCAGACCAGCATGCAAAGTTCGCCTTTCGCTGAGGAAAGTTCGACAATTGTTCCACTTTGGTAAGTATTTGTGGGTTGATCTTCAAAGTGGTAGAGCAAATAGGGATTTCTCCGCTATCCCAAGATATGGCCTAGGACTAATCCAAGGAGGAAGCAGGAGGATCGGGGAAATAAAAAATTTCCACGCAATCTGGAGCGTCTTCTTCCCTAAGACTTAAATCCATTTTTGACGGAATGGAGATGTTTTAGGTGGTTTGATGACGATGCCTCCGCAACTTGTGATATCGCCGGGATTTTTAAAGATTTCCAGACATTTTTATCGTTTGCAGCAATGTACACCGAATTTAACGCAAACCGAAATTCTTTTATGCAGGGCGATGGGAAGGGGGTGTACAAGATATGATCTGACGGAGAACCTGATCCAAAAGTAGCAAAGTGGGTTGTAATAGTGTTCACTTGGTGGTGAAGGTGGTTGCGGGGAGGTCGGCGGACCACTTGGGGCGGTATTCATTTTCTCCCCAGGGGGATGTATCCCCCTCCTCTGCTGCAGAGGAGGAGACATCCCCCTGGGGAAGGATTGAATACCGCCCTTGAACTCAGCCCTTTAAACCGCCTCTGCGCTCTCTCGCGGGTCCCTCTCCTCTCCAAGGCTTAGTCCTAGGGCATTCACCCGTTCTCTAATCGTCTGTGCTCTAGCCATCGCGGCAGGACCATTGAGGAAAAATCAAGTAGTCCGTAAACTGTAGCGGGGAAGGGCTAGGTGAGGAATCGCACTTGGAGAATCTGGATATCGTTATGCTTGAACCTAGCAGTTGGATTTGATTTTGGATGTTCTCAGGTTTTGTGGCTAGAAAATATCGATTTGTTTCAGGTTCCAAAAATACGAAGTTCATTCGAAGAAGTTGAAGAGTCTGAACGTGCAGCTCAACAGCGGTTAGAGAATCTTCTGTTCGAGGCGGAAGTGATGTTGCGCGAATATGAGCATTTGAAGCAAGGAATACGTGTTTGACTGAATTCGCTAATTGTTGTTGCTCATCCCAAATGCATGTGATTCTTAATCCTTTCGAAACGACTTTCTAACTAGTCTCTTTATCGGAAATATACTCACTTAAAATCGTTGGCAGATTTGACTATAATAGCTCTGGAATTGGTGTACAGTCATTTTTTAACCCTTCACGAATATGAGCAATAGTGAGCTTAACTTATATCCTAGCAAATATCATTACCAGTTTGACTGGCGTTCATTTTGGTGCGGCCTCATGCAAACAGGCTGTTCTATGGAACACCAGATCCCATGACTGGTTTCAACGTTCCTCATTTTGTCTAGTCTTCTCCCTATACCCTTTGTAGAAATTGCCATGGTCGACACGAAAACGTTAGGATCCCGCGATTTTGCCGAGGTCCTGTATTTAATAATCTCTTCATTATATAAACCACAACCTTGGTGTCGTTTGTATTGATGTAATGTAAGTCTTGTCTGTGCCATCTGCACAAATAGGTGAGTGACCAAGGAGTTTTAATGGACTAATCAGACGCCGCTAATGAATCTGGTAGCTCGCCGGCTTGCTCTATTCCAATTGGTTTTGCAATGCCTTAATTGTGGTACCATCCCACCCGCTATAATACACATCTACTTATGCACCCTTCCGTCCACTCCTCAGTGCTACAGTGGCAGCTGGAGAGCAATGGAGGAGGGGAGGAGTAGGAACTCAAAGTTTACGCAGGGAAGAAAGGTTCCGGCGATTGCCGGGGACCAATTTGGTACTGTACATAAAGAAAACGATCACGCTGGCTCTTAGGTATGGTTGCTACTTACGCGTTACCAACCGATAAGATCTGAACTAGGTAATGGTTGGAGAGCGTAAGCTTGTTAGACAGTACGACTGCCTTAGTAATGAGAGTCGCACTCTACGCATGAAAACATCGTACAATACACGGAACGGTAGCCAAATTAGCACGCCATCCCTCGCCAACCCGGTCCACATCGATACGTAGTATAGGTTATCTTGCATACCCCGAAAGAGTTCGCGACTGCCCTATCACCATTGATAAGGCGCCCGCCACTGCACTACGTCACCTACTGTCTCATCTGCGGACGCCCCTACCCAACTCCATACGGTTTCCACATCGTCTCCATGACATTATACCGTACACTTCTTTAACATCAGTGGCTGCTGTTGTTGTTGACAAAAGGTGGTCATCCTTTCAATTATATAAAACCGCTTATTTGGTGTGTCGGTTTGTATACTACGTACGTTTGTGTGTCGATGTGTCTGTTTGTCTGTCTACGAAATGAAGGAAACTAGTGTAAAAAAAATTGCTAGTAATTTATTTTGTTGTGCCTGACGAGGTTTAAGGATGGACATTTAAAGGACGAATTCACGCTGGGAAGGCAACCCATTTCAAATTAACTCAGGGATGGTGAGTGGTACACGAAAGAAGGAAGAACCATGAGAAACGGCCCAGAACCCGAGAAATGGGACCCCTTCCTTCCCCGCTGATTTGCGCATTGATGCGACTCTTATCGCTGTGCCCTCCTCAACATCACGCTCTCTCTGCTATCTAATCAATCCCACGTATAGATCTGCGGCGAGTGATCAGCTGGTCGGTGGGCGGAGATCGCCAGACCCGCCAACTTTGAGGCATAATAGGTCGCCGAGGTCAAATTTTTCGATGCGAATTGCGCATCAGTTCGCACCCTCAGGAGGTCCGTGGGTTACTCAACTAGGTGAATTACTTCTTCCTCGACCTCCATTCTAATCGTAAAATCCTCCTTTAATTCAATGCTGATAGTTTCGATGAGTCATTCAAGAGGTCGATCGTTCCAGCCGTTGACGCGTTGGAGGTCGCTGCCCACACAAGAGGCGCTAGTCAGGTTGGATCTCCCGAAGATGCCGCAGATCTAGTGATATTAAGATCAGTCGAACCATCCGTTTATGAAACTAAACTCAGTCAGTATTGAGGTACCACTTTTTGTTGCATAAACATCTACTTCACGAGATGTTAACTCTGAAAGGGAAGGGGAGCTCAGTGGAATGCGTTAAGCATTTCGTCCCATCCCGCCGATTGCCGGGGCGGAACTGGTGGTAAGGATGAAGCATTGGATGTCAACCAATCCCGTTTTGTGATGTGCCACGCATTCCACTTCTATTCAGAATCGTTGTGGCAGTTTCAATGCGATGTGGCCTGTACAAGAATTTGCGGGGGCAGCCGATATTGAAGTTAGTGTTCCGGTGTTTTTATCCTCCCGGACAAGTGCGATGCCTGTTCCTGACACAAAGTTGGACAAGCCATGGTCCACCCCTCCACGCTTTGTTCACTACAGTCAACACCGTGGGTCGTCCGCCGCTCGACGTGCATTCTGAGGAGAACGATGAGGCGGAGTTTGGTGGGCTTGAGTGGTACCGAGAATCACACATCTCAATCGAGAGAAATTATCTGGTCGATCGAGGCCGTCGCACCAAACGGGCCATACGTACCAATCCACCTTGGGAAGGGGAATCGTAAAAAATTCAAAAATGTACCAGATCGACCTACCCTGATGGAAACCCTTGCTTAGCACTGAGACACCGCCATGACCAAGGATTTTGATCTCCGCGACGCGCGCCCATTGCACTCACCATCCCACTAGGCCGTGCCTGAGCAGCTAGGTGAACAGTGGGCAGCGATTAGAAGATCGTGCTCCATTGTGGTAAATGACCATCTTGTCGATTCACCACTATGACTGCGAATTCATTGTGCTGGGTACGCAAGTGCAAAGGTAGCGCCACCTTTCTACATCGAAACGCGTCACTAGGACCCTAGGCGCCATGGACTTCTAACAGACTCCACCAAACTTAACATGGTCCGCCCACCGTTCGATATCTTGTCTGCGTCGCCACGTTGATCTGCTATGCTCTCTCTTCTCGGACTTCTCTACCACTCTCCGCGCTCACATTATCTCTCATCTCCCTGCCTGCTTTTGAATATCTCCACAGCAAGAGCAAAATGCTCCATGCTATTTCCTGTATTTCAGAATTTTCTTTCGTTCTTTCTTCACTGATGTCCACCTTCCACCAACAAAAATAAATTAAACAACGTTTCACTCTTGAGTGGAATCGCCTGCCATCAATTCTTTAATTCCTGATTCTGCGCCTTTAGTTTCCAGTGGCGCTTCCTCACCCTGACCCCCCCCCCTACCTCAACCCCTCTATCATTGTAATCCTACTTCCACCATTAGTCTGACTACGTTTTTCGTGCAGCTTTAAATCGCACCACCATAATGTATTAGGTTGTCTCATAAACAGTGTCGCTTTTTTTCATCCAAAAAATTTTCATCTAAACCTCCATGCTTTTACATCGTGTTGTGTACCATTCGAAAGAGAATTGTCTGCTCTACAAAATGCTATGTCCCACTTCCACATTTCTTCTCCCAGGGTTTTCCAAATTTTGGGCCTGTGAAATGGGAGGTCCGGCGCCTCCCCCCCTCGCCACTCCCCCACACCCAAATGAACCCCCTGACCCTCTTAACCTCGCCCCTCCCGCCCCCGTCCCCCCAACCGACAACTATCTCTAACATTATCTTTCCTTGGGAGAAATCAATCTATGATGTACCTTCTACTTATGCATGACCTCTTCTAATCATTACACTACTAGGTTTTCCTACAAATCGCGTCGTTCAATTTCCAGAGCTGGTTTTTCAACCTCAAGAACTCGACGATCGAGCACCATTACCTGTGATCTAGGTCGAAATTTTTTTATGGCCGAGACGTTGAAGAACTGGTTGAATTTGAAGAACAAGTCATGACTAAGTTAGGAATGTACGACTGGTTGATTTTCTCATTTTCTAAGGGATAATTTTTTTCAAAGAAATGTGGTCACTTTCGCGGTAAAGCACCTTATACCGAAACATCTAAAATTCGAACTAATTCCCAACAAAGAAACAAAACAAATGAGCGAGTAGAGCAGAAGAAGTGCTCGTAAAAGGAACACCACTCGATATGAAACAATGACGTTTACGAGGAACAATTTTAATTTGAAAATTGCTATGGCTTATCCGTCAGCCAATTCGAAAAGAAAAACGGCAAAGCTTTTTCGGCAACCTAAGAGTGGAATGTTTAGAAGAGGTCATGGGTAAGTATAGGGTATATCACTGGTTGATTTCTCCCCAGGGAAAATAAAGTTACAGCCAGTTGTCGGTTTGGTCAATTTTTGCCGGCGAGACCTCCCATTTTGCTGGCCTGAAATTCGAAAACTCTGAAATAGCGGTGGAAGCGGAACACAGCATTTTGTAGAGCAGACAATTCTCTTTCGAATGATATATAAAACGATGTAAAAGTTTCATGATTTAGATGAAAATTTTTTGGTTGAAAAAAAACGACGACATCACTTATGAGACAACCTAATATAAACA